CTACTTGTCCTCAAGATGGTTGCATCCATTGCTGATCACAGTTCCTCTCAAGATGATTTCACAGCCCTACTCACTCATGGTCTTAATGGCTCATTTATGAAATTATCAGTTAAAGACTAATCTTTTGCAGGAATACAACTCTATGGATTTATTCCTTATTGCACAAAGCCCTTTAGTTACTGCACAGCACTGACTCACAGCATCCTTTGGAAAGATGTCACAGGGTACAAGTGAGTTTCAGATCATTAACAGGGAAGTCAGTCATTTACAGCAGCTGGGAGTCCGGTCCTGCTTTCTGGTAAGAGATTTTTGAGCAGTATGCATTTGACCCTTCACTTTACACTCTGCCCTTTCTATTTATTTATATTTTCCTCATTAGTGCACAAACTTACCATTTCTCAGCTCTGTAAAAATAGGAGTTTCCTTTGGGAACCGGTTTATTTGGGAAGTTTTTGATAACATAAATGAAACCATCTAGAGATGGTCTGTTCCTTTCAAAGAGGATTTATCCTGCAAGCTGCTGGACATGACCTGCATGTGCTCATGGCCTTCCCCCAGGTTCCACCTTTTGAGGAGGCACACAGTACACTGCAGGACCTCCTTGCCTTACCCCACTCTGGCTCAGTGATTCACCTACAACAGCTTAAGAACATATTTTGTCCCACTCCTAATGCCAGCTCATATTTGGTACCATATTTGGACAATGTCACTATTTTTGCATTATGAGACAGCCTACTGTAACTTCTATTACAATAACCTCCCTGAAATGCTTGGGAAAAGAGGAATACAGATTTGGTTGGGTTTTCTTTTTTTTTTTTTTTAAGCTTCTAAAAGATGTGGATGGATGAGGTATTAATACAAATATTTTCTTGCTCTTCACACCTGCATATGTGGAATGTATGGGAGTATAATTTATTAAAGGATGTTTCTTTAATTCTTTTCTTTAATTCACCCATAATATCTTCAAGACACAATGACATCATTGAGGAAGGTGTTTGACGTGAGCCATTGCATCTCTAGCTTTATATCAACTTAAATCAGCAATGCAATAATGGAAGCATAATGCAGAAATTAAGACATTAAGCAGGAGGTCCTGGGATCTAAGGCGTCTTCAAAAAATGTTTCCAGTAGTACATGGTAATTCATTATGACACTAAACTTAATGGATAAGTGTGACAGCATTAAAAACAGCTTTCTCATATAAGTGTCAGTTTCTTATTTTAAAAAAATTAAAGTGCAGTGAATTACTTTGGTCCTTCTTCAAATGCTTAGATTATTTCTTAGACAACACCTGAAAATGAATATGCAAACAGCTTGAGATCCTTTTGTTGTACAGTGTAATGACCTGTTAAACACATGAGCAAAGATGCATAATTCTGTTTCTTCAACCTTTATTGCTAAAGTAAATATTCAATGGAACACTGTGAACACATCCTTACCACATAGGCTGACAGGTTCCTAATGCTCCTGTTGTCTTCAAATTTTCCTTAAAAGAAATGAAAAATTCTTTAATATTTGTGGATATCAGTGATGTAATAAAATAACAAAGGCAGATCTAATCAGCTGAAATGAGAAAGGGTAAGGTTTTTTTAGATAGACTGACATTATTTGTATTATTAACATCGCTTTTTTATTTCTCAGCTTAAGCTATTTGCCTCTCTGTTCCAAATGTCTTTTTACTGTGCTGTTATACATACCAAATGCCTTTGTTAGAATAGATGTTTGGGCTATTAAATTGCTGCAGTATTTCATTTTTTATCGCATGAGCTAAAGGTACTGTACAAGCATCTGCCCACATTATCAGGCTCAGCTGAACATTTGCTCTCATGGAGTCAAAAGAAGGCAGTATTTTCCTGATGACATTCCTAGAGCCATCTAATTGTTTTTCCTCTGTTAAGAATCTCTCCCAGGAGGTGTAAACAACTTGCAGAGAGGGGGGAAAAAAAAGCACTCAAGGCACCTTCCAAGATGACAAAGCACAAAAAGTTAGGAGAGACATGACTTTTCCTTCTCTTTTACTTATTTCAGTGTTTGCAGTGTTCCTTAGTAAGTCTTCAGAAGCAATGAGTCAGGAAGTAAAATTCTTAAAATAATCTAGAAATGTTCAGATGAAATGTATGTTTTGCAAAATCCTAGGCTGTGCCATCTCCAGCAATTTCTCTAATGACTGTTTTACTGGAGAAGAGAGCAATACTTTCCATCAGCCTCCTCCTTGAAAGTATTGCTCCCCAAAATTCCAATCCTCAGCAACGGAGAGTTTGGGCAGGCCTTACCTCTCCTGCCATGATGGTGTATTTCTCACCTGATGGGCTTTTTGAGGTGGGAATCCATTTATTTAGGGATGACTTCACTGAGGGCACCAGTGTAAGGATGGTGAGCAGCAGTGGTCCCTGCTGTGTCCAGATACCATCTCCTTCACAACAGAGCCTTCCAGGAGGGGACAAAGAAGAGAACAAAGCAGTCTCATAGCAGGGCTTCCCTGCAAGAATTGCCTGTTGCCTGGCCACAAAATCCATTTTCAAATATATACATCTAGAGAAGCTTCTCCTGAACAAAGCCAGGAACAAGCTTGGCTTTGTCACCTCTGTGAGATCATGGATGCACTTAGGACTCTGCCAGTGTGTGACCTGGTAAACTGGTTGTTGAGATAAGGTAACGCTCACTCATCCATTCCTGTCAACGAAGGCAGGTTTTGGCATGGCTAATGACAAAATTCTTCCCTTTGAAAAAACCAGTGCATTTTTATGATTCTGGTGCTGGCTGTGATTCAGCTTTTCTGTATGTCAGTTGCCAGCAGCTTCCTCAGATGAATCAGTTTCTGTTCCCTAAACTGAGGCAGACAGATGTTAGCAAAATATCTGTGCAGTACTTAATTCCAAATACTATAAAGAGAACTTTCTTGGATTTACGTTCTGTCTAGAGGACTGGTTGAGGTCGTGAAAAAAAAAAAAAAAAATTGCCTTGGAAACAAAAGCGTCAGAAGACATCCTCTCATTCCAGCTTGGACAGAAGTCTTTGGCACACTCACATAAACAATATTTCACATGTTCTTCTGTATCTGTGGGATTTCAATTTTTTTCCCTACATGATTCTGAAAATGTTAAGATTCCAAATGCTCTTTGCACAAAAACTCCAGCATTGCCTTTTGGCTAGAAGGTGGTCATAGAGCTTTTTGACTCACTTCTAGCACAAATAGTAAACAAAGCTTATTCAGCACTGAGCATCCGTCTATGTTGACAGAGTTTGCAAAAATCCCAGCAAGACTGGACTCCTACCAAAATAAGACTGTGCCAAGCTATTGGGGCATGTTGCAGAGGCCAACATCTGCAAGTCCTGTTCCTATTGCTGTGGGATACAGAAAGTCTTGGTGCAAACTACTACATTTGGAAAAGTATCTTGGATTTTCTACATAAACATACTGCTCTGGAACCAATAGCTGGACCAAAAAAGGGTATATTACTGATTTTATTTTGATTAACCTTCCCGGGAATCATTCATGAGAAAGCATAAATAATTCTACAGGAGAAACCTGAAAAAATTGACAGCAGTATTAACCTGCACTCCACCTCAGGGGTTGTTCTTCATTATCATTAGCCTGAAATGGAAATATTCTGGGAATGATCACCTGGTCTCCTGGATTTACTTTTAATGACAAAGACAGCTTAAGCAAAAAAAAAAAAAAAAAAAAGCAATGGCTTTTTTAGGAAAAAGAAAAACATATACAGAAATATTTGCTGTATATCAAATGCATACCCACTTATAACAATAAGATAGAATGCATAGATTGCACTTTATCTGTCCTTAAAAAGGGTTCAGTGACTATTAAGGAAGCAATTATTCTGAAAATATCTTAAAGGACCAAAGGGCAAACAGATGGGTGATTCCAATCAGGGTAGACAAGAAGGTCCTGTGGTACAGCTGGTGTTTGCACTGCAAGCACCTCCAGCTGAACTGCTCGCTCCTGCAGGGTCAGTGGAGAGTTAGGCGTGATGCCCAAACCATGCTCATGGCATGACTCACACAACCTCTTTCACAGAATTCGCACGTTGAAACAGGCAGCTGTGGGGAAGCGACTGAGACACCATCCCTGGAGGTATCTAAAAGATGTGGCACTTAAGGACATGGTTTAGTGGTGAACTTGTCAGGGTTATGTTTATGGTTGGACAAGATGATCTTAGAAGTTTTTTCCATCCTCAGTGATTCTCTGATTCTAATCTGAATTTCTCTTGCTACAACATGGGAAGGTTTCCTTTCACTGCTCACCTCTGTGAGGAGTGTATCTGGCCTCTCTCTAACCCATGGCAGGCAGCTGAGGACAGCAATCACATCCCACTTTCATGTCTCTCCTCCATCTGATTAAGCCCAGGTTTAAGCAGCTGTGGGAGGCTGGGGTGCAGCTCCCACTCCACTCCCATGCCAGCACTGCCAGCATCTCCCTGGAGCAAGGGGAGAAGCTCAGACTCAGGTAGTGATGGGTAGCAGGTTTAACAGTGCCACTTGTCAACCATGCATCTGTAATTAAAGCCAAGCACATGCTTACCCTGTCTGATGAGCAGGGCAGCCTCTCCTCCCACACAGACTGCTCTGAGGACATGTAAGGGCACTGAGCACTGTGCTTAGATACTGTTGGCTTAGCATCCCTGTTCACACATTAGGCAGGTATCACTAATGATCTGGAAATTAACTTGCCATTGAACTTATATTTTGAAAATATCCAAAAATTCATCTGTCAGGAGAAGTTTCAAAGAGAAAAAGGCAAATGAGGTGTAATGGCACTGTTTCTAGTGGGACCTGAGTCAAAACTCAGCTGTCATTGCCAGCAGTATGACTACGTGCACAAGGTAGGTAGTTTCAAAAATAAACTGATTTCACCAGAACAGATAAGTGTTGTTTTAAAAATGGCAGATACCATTTTAGCATTCATATGAGAAATGTTATAAATAGGTAGTTTTGAATATAAAGCATCCAAGCTACAAGAGAAGACAGACCCTGCTTTACGCTGCTGCTGCCGGGTTTATCAGTGCTGCAGCTTTGCCCAGAAGGAATCAGCCTCGTCAAGGTTCTCTGACCTCAAAGAAGAACAGAAATGATGTTGAAGATGATACAAGAATTGTCCATGGGACCTGCCTTCTCAGGATCTCTTTAAATCATGGTGGGTGATCCTCCTTTCTTTGTGTGTCCATTACATGTTTTTCATTAAGGGCTGTTGGTGTTCTTTGGAGAAGACCTGGAAGAGGAGAGACACAAACGGGCACAGACTGGGACGTTGTTCTGCACCTGGGCCAGCCCTATTTCCTTGGATGGGACAGACAGATCCAGACTTTTCTCAGCGACTCAGAAGAGTATAGGTAGAGCTGTTTCTATTCCTTTGTGCTTTCACTCTGTCTAAAAAGTTTTCTATTTGATCTGTTTTTAGCATTACAGATTCCTCCCTTCCCTGTAAGGAATTTTATCTCAAATCCTTGGTCCATTTGGGGCATGTCACAGGAGTAGTCTCTGCTTGTTGCCATGCTAAAGAATCCATTGATTGACCTGCACATGAAACCATCCTATATATTTAGCAGAAATATATGAAAATTTATACAGTATAAAAACAATCACAGGAAAGTTGGCATATGCTGGGCATCTCCTGAGGGATTTCATTTTACCAAGCAACTTTAATTTTTTTTTCATTTGAGTACTGCAAGAAAGTTGAGTGCCAAAGATAAAATTAAATGAAGGAAGGCAGTAGCTTAGCACCCTGGGACATGGAGGACAAGAGGTGTTGCACATGGGAAAACACATGATGAGAGATTCATGGTGTGCTGGAGCTTCACAAAGCTTACCTGGCACAGCCAAGAAAATTCAAATGAGAGGGAATGGGCAACAAGGAGTCAGTGGCATGAATCACAAGAGTGTAATGACTCAGGAACCAAGTTCATATTAACCAACTGGATAGACTGAATGGGAACAAAGCAAATCTCAGGGAGGCCAGATTCAATGACAGCACAATGTGAATTCATGATTTGTAATTTTAATAATGCAAAATTCAGTAAATAAAATGTTAAAATAAGCAACTTTAATAATTCATTGCAACATTTACTATTTTAGGACTGTTATTTTATAGCATATTTGATTCAATTGTTCAGTGTCATTGTGTGTCCTTTCCTTGTAACCATGTCACAACTTAGACATTACAGTGTTTCATTATGGTCAGGTCAATTGTAAGGTGTTTCTGGGTTTTTCAATAGAGAAGAATCCCATCTGTCACACTGGAACATCAGCTCTGAACTACACTGTTGTTCACCAAGGTTTTATATCACCTCAGGTAGCATACATTTCTAATCTTTGTCCTAAAGCAGTAAGTTTATGTAGGTTTGAATATCATTTAGGACTTCAATAGTTTGTGTCTTCAAAGCACTGTGTAAATATTAACCAAAGTACACATACAGTAAATTCACCCGACAATACTTGCGTTAACTGCAGGAGTCAGAGCCAGAGGCTGCATCAAAATTTAGAGGTTATGCTGTGATTACCATTGCTATATCTGTAAAAGCACTGGGCCTGACATTTTTGCATACAGAATATATATAACCTACATCAAAAGCTATCTTTTTAAAAATAGTTGTCTGTGTTTGATGCTGCATGATGGCTGATGCAGACATAAGAACAGGTAAAGCATTGATGGTGGGCACAGTGCAGGGCTCACTGCAGGCTTGTTAGCTTATCACTCATCACAAGCAAAATCATGGGAAAGACTGAGCATGACATAAATATTGCTATCAAAGAATGGTTTAAGTACAATGCAAGATGCAAATATAAGGAACACTGACAACACACTTTAATGAAAACAATAGCATTCCATTTAAATGTAAATTTAAATGTTAGCATTTAACACTGAAATATTGCTAGCATTTTTGACAAGTTTAGTTAATAAAAAGTGACAGCTGACATAATACACTTAGATTTCCAAAGGTTCTATCCCTTGATACAGTATGACATCCTGATTAAAAACATTTAACTGAACTGCTGAAGCACAAACTAAAGAAGATTTAAAACTGTCTATTTGGTGGATCTCAGAAAGAAATCATAGGTGGGGTCTCTTTCAGGCATAAATGTGTTCATTCTCTTTACTGAGGAGCAGAAACCATCAGATTACACCTGCAAACCAGCAAGACCAGGGCTTAGGAGAAGACTGCCTAACTCAGCTTCTCAGTAGCACAAAAAGCATCTCATGAAGGCCCCTACTTTTTCAGCAACATATTCACATCTGCTCTCTTGCTCTTCTTGCTATGCCATTTTCCCATCTGACCTATTCAGGTTTCACAGTGTTTGGAGAAAAGTCTTCCTGTAGCCAGTACCAGGCTTTCTGTCAAGTTGACTTTGGCTTAGGTCCTCAGTGAGATATTCAAACAAACAAAATTCCACCAATTACTTCTACCTAAACAGTGGTGAATGCCAGCCTCCCTGATGCTCCTGAGGATCTCTATAAAGAAAAACATTAGTCAGAGAGATTTGGGTGAAAAGAAACCTCCATGTATTACTTCTGCCTGGGGTAGCTTCCAGCCATAAAGGACAACAGTAGAACAGTGCACCTTGCACTGCACAGCAAAACAGTCTGCAAACTCTGTGTGAAAACAGAAGATTTTGGTATTGCTGTCTCTGTGAAATTGCAGAACCAGGCCTTGTGCACATCTGAGTAAAGTGATCTCCAGAGCCCTGACAATGGGTTAATGGCCTCACAGCAAGTGCACAGGCTGAGGTGACAGATGTAATGGACGCAGAGAATTAAAATGTAATTAACATTACATCCATGATATATGTTTACATTAACTGCCAAACTGATTGTTCCACTATATAACCAATGAGAAAAGTTGAGGAAGCCTGAGCATAAGCAGAGATACTTATAGGACAGCAGTAGGCATGAAAAGTAAATAAGAAAAGCAATGGTGATCATGCAATGCTCCCTGAGCCCGTGGCACAGAAGCAAGAAGCTTGCAATTTATCATGCAGTTAAGAAGGCAGCAGGAACCCTACAATTCCTATTGTGAAGCTGCAGAATTGTCCTGTAGTCAGCAATTTAGTCTGCAACATTTTATTAAAATATCTTTTAGTGCTTTGCAACATAACTTCTGTTTGATACAATAAGCTTGAATTTAAAGTGAGAAGAGTCTCCAGGCTGCTGTGGAGAGCTCTGCAAGCTCAAGAGGACAGATTGCTATTAACACTCCAGCAGCTCCTTGCTGTGGGTAATCACATTTTAATATGCTTTCTTCTCCTGTAGAGGCTGATGAATATATATATATATATATATACATATATATATATATATATATAAAAGAGGTCCAAGATGCATGTTTCTGCCATTTTTAAAGTCTGACTTCTTACTGTGGCAATAACTTGTTTTCTGTTTAACACTGGCAAGTAAAAAATTGCTAGAACATGGGCATCCTTCCCAGTCTCTTTAAACATACTGCCTTTATAGGAGGCATGAGGCTTTAGCTGCTCCCACTACAAACAGCATAAGGAGCTCACTCTGTCCTTTGTTGTATCAAGCTTGTTATGGCTTTCATTTGACAAGATTGCATATATGCAAACCTCAGAAAATGCAAATTGGTTTAGCTTGATCTGACATTTGTAACACGCCTCTGTCTTGCTGGTTTGGAGTGTAGGGATGAAGGATCATACAAATGGATACTCCAGTTCAAAACTCATGTAATCAATGTCATGGGGTCTTTATTTGAAACTGTTCTAGGGAAACTGTGAGGTCCCTAATCAGCTGTTACCAACTATTTGAAAATATCTCTGGGTTTCAATGAAAATAAATGGAATTAATACATTGTAGTACAGATCCATAACTTCTTATGGCATAAAATACCACTTCAATGATATTTGTTACCAAATTAACATCAAGAGATGGGTATCAGAAGAGGTCCTCCAGCTCTTTTGTCACTCTCAGTTATAATGGGTCTTTACAGTAATTTTGAGATCCAGTCCCATCATGCAGCACAACATAAGGACACAAGACTGGTGTTACTGAGGCAGACCATGGGTTTGTGGATTACTGCACCCTGCTCCTGTCTATGGTCAACACTGGGGGAACAGCAATGCAAGGGAAGCATTTCTATTTCCCCCAAGTTCAGTCCCTGCCTCCAAAATAGCATTGCAGTTCAGAGACTTTCTGAACAAGAGCTGTTGCCTTTTCATTGAATGGATACTGATGGGTTATTTTCAATAATTTTATCTACTCATGTTTTTAAAGCCATTCAAATTCTTAGTTTTCCCAGCATCCAGACTCAAGGGGCCACACAAATTACCTTCATAAAATGCAAAAACCATCACCTTTGTTTGTTTTGAACTTTCTGCCTGCTGTTAAAATTATATATCCCTTAGATCTTTTAACTGGATGTACCAAAACCTCTATTCACACCCCATTAACCCTTTCTGAGCTGCTTCTTATTTTATAGATCTCACATGCCCTGAAACAGTCATATCTTAAAGCATTTAGATGCTTGCTTGCAAACAGAAGACATTGTAAGCTTTAGCCTTCTAACAGGCTAGGAGGAAATCATCATCTTCAGACATCAAAACAAAATGGCACTGGCCATCAAACACCTCAGCAGCTTTTTCTGTCTCACTCCAAGAAAAAACTTTTATTCCAAAAGATCACATCCTAAGTGATGCAACACCATTCTTTGTCCAAATTGTGTTCTGCAGCCATATGCAAACAGGCCAGCCATCTGTCCTGTATGCAAAGTCCAGAGTATAAATGGTCTACATTTATATAAATGTATATATAAATGGTCTACACAGATCCATATGTATTACAATAATAAGGAATTTCACAACATGCTTTTCATGTTGAGGCAATGCTTCAGAGGATTCTCTTAGTCTGTGCTTGCACAAATCAGTTGTGTTTGCTGGGATGGTGGAATAACCATCACATTTCACACAGCAGCAAGCAGTATGGGAACTTCCAAAAGCAAACAAGTCTTAAATCACATAAATCTTCTATTCATACTGACTCAGAACTATCTTCCATTTCCATAATTTACAGGGAAAGGACAATTAGGAACTTTCTAAGCCTGCTCATTTATTTTCAGCCTATTTCAAAATTATTGCTGTCTTTTCAAGCCTGTCTCCTTTGAGTAACACAGGACTCTGATGTACAATAACCAAGTATAACTTGAGAACAAGTCAATACAGCAATGAGTGCCATAGCTCAGGAGTTTCTCTCCAAACTATCTGCAATGCCTTCAACCACCAATCCTTGATTCTTCCCTGACCACAGCAACATCAGAGATGGATTTTCTGGTCAGCTCCCAATAGCCAGGAGGTGGAGTTGTGAGGCTTCAGCACAGCCCAGCCTAGCTCATAGCCCACAGGTCTCTCCAGATGATCAGTCTATTAGAGATCTCTCTTCTGAAAATAAAAAATGTAAAAACAAAAAGTTTTTGATGGATCATAGTGATGACAAAGCCCCTGAGCCACAAGATGCTTCTGAATTTGCTGCACAGACATATTTTGTGTGATTAGCAGAAGCCAGTACTTCTTGGGGGAAAACATTGTTGGGTAAATGGTTCAGAGAAAGGAAAACAATTTGAAATTGTCTGCAGCCAGCCTTGCTCAGACAATATGGATCTGAATTTCAATTCTCTGTAAACAAGCAGCCCATCTCTGAGTGTGTCAGCAGTTTTAATGTCATGTCATCCAATCAACACAGGTTGTGTTCTGGGAATCAGAAAAAAATACTTTTGCATTCATGGGAGAGAAGAGGTTTTTTCCCATATTGCTAATTCCTTCTACTAAATTTTACCTCACTTAGTGTCTTGCTGATGATAAAGACCAGCATTCACTTTCTGGCACTGCTGAATTCCTCTTTCAACAACATAATGAGTTCACACATGCTTCCAGACTGCTGTACAGAAAGAAGTAGCAAATCACTCTACAGAGAGTGACATTTCTTCTTCTGTGATGCAGTCTGAGTGTACCACTGCTGAACACACTTTTTAAGGTGAACTGTCTATTTGAAATCACAATTTGCTTGAACGTTCTGAGTTTGTTCTTCAGCTGCTGAAGTCTGTCAGAGATCTGTTTAATTCAGTGGAGACATGCTAATTTGAACTAAAGAGCTGACCCTCTGTGCCTACCCGTATTAAATTATTATTCTATTAGACAGATCACAGATAATTATAATCCTGCATACTTCTGTTTATTGACACCATGTCTCTGGGAACACTCTCTTAAAGGAATTTAGCTAGTCATCTGCCATTCATTTCAATTACAGAAACATAAACACAGACTACCAAATGAAAACCAAAAAAATTCCAACCCAGAAATAAAAGACATAAACCTACAGCATCTTTCAGAGAAATTATAGGCTGGTCTAATATTCGGTCTGTTTTCAACTCACTGTAAAAATGTTGCCTACCAAGCTGGAGAGATTTGAATGACTCCTTGACAGGCAATTCATGATCTTTGTGATACATCATCAATCTGCACACATGAGCCCCATCTCATTCAGTTCTGGACCAGGACTGATCCCAACACTCTTCAGACCATGAAGTTTACTCTTATTTTAATTTTTCAAGAACGTCTCCTGCCTGACTGTATATCCCTCCCTTGGAGCAGTGGATAGCCACAGCCTTGTCCCCTGCCACCCACTGAGCTTGCAGAGGTGGCACAGAGGGCCCATCATGTCACAGAGATGCTGCCCCACTGCTGTGATGGTGATGCTGCCTAACTGCTGCCTCGTGCTGCATTCTGTTCTGTGATGGAGAATAACAGAGGTAAAGTACCTTGTGTCTTCATATTCTCATGAAAAGCAGAAAGGAAACTTTGTAGTCCATGTGATCCCTCCTTTCTGTTTGCTCCCCCCCCCCTCCTCCCAATATGTTCATTTCACTAGTAAAAGACTGTGAACCTGATTTAACAGATGAACCTAAACCTTCTCCAAGCTGTAGTTAATTATTGTCTGTCTTGGTAATGCAGGCTTTCATTTAATCCTAAATGACTAAACAGAAAGTTTGTAAGTGCACTGCACGTCTCACCATGTTTGGTGGGAGAGGTACTACAAACATCTTGTATGCCATTTACACAAACAATTTTAACCACACCAGATTTTACCCAAAAGGAAGATCATTCCCTCTCTGGTACCTCAGCCAGTTCACAAATCACTGTATTGCCATACATCTGGGATGAAATAATCCTCTGCAATTGCACAGGGCCAGCTGTGGGCACTGGTGGAGAGGCAGCTGAACTCCAGTCTGCAATGGGCTCTTGGGGCTGGGAAGAGCAGCCATGGGCTGGGATGCCTGTGAACAGCACACCCAGCAATTGAGGGAAGTGTTTATTCCCTCTTTCTGGAACTTGTGAGGCCACATCTGGTGTGCTGTGTCTAGATTTGGGTTATCCAGTACAGTAAAAACATTACATATGGGACACTGCCCAGGGGGGCTATCAAGAAGATTAAAGGGTGGGGGCACAAATCAGGAGTATAAATATGTAGAGAGAGTGAAGAATTGGATTTTTTCAGTTTGCTCAGGCTAAGGGAAGATCTTACTGTCATCTTCAACCAGCTCATGGGAGAATATGGAGAACATGGAGCCTGACTCTTTCCAGTGATGAGCTGTAAAATGGATGCAACTTGCAGCAAGAGAAATTTGACATGTGGAAAGTATCTTAACAGAGAAATTACAAAAATTCTGGAACAACAACCCAGCAATCTTCTGGAATTTCTGCTGTTGAAGATGCTCCAAGTGCAACTGGGCAGTCAAGCAACCAGGTCGAGGTTTGAAGTTAATCCTGCTCCAAGGCAGGAACTGGAGTATGTGACCTCCAGGGTCCCCTCCAACCTAAACCATTCTGTGATGTTGTAGTGGAAGAGACAGATGTTTTGGGGGGATGCAAGGTGGTGCAAGTCCCTTGGAGACCAATGGACTCATAAATTCTAGAGGCTACTTCTGAATCTGCCCCAGACATGCTGTGTGACCAACCAGCCTGAGGCAGCTTAGGCACCGTGTCTCCTGGTGAACCTGGAGACAACAGGAGCACCAAGTTTGTCTCAGCAATTACCCACTGCAGCAGCAAGGCATTTAGCTTGGGCAGGAACATGCCATTGCCTTTCCCAGCTGAAAACCAGGCACACACAGGGTGAGACAGGTGAACTGTATTAGAGGTTCCATAGCCATGGAGGCCACCAGTCAATAAAAGAAAACATCTCCAAACAACACAAACTAACATCCAGCACTGGGGAAACCCATAATTTTGTCTGCCAACTTATTTGGAATGGAAATCAGCTGTCAGGGATTGCAGTTAAGTGGGGAATGTGAAAACATGATTTTAAATGTTTGGTAATTACTTTTCAAGGCAATATTAGCATTAATAATTCCTGCTGGTATTTGGACCTCCGTTGTCACCCACTCACTTTGGCATCATATCATACATAAAAACTTTTGCCATTTGAGCTAGTTAGTAATATTCTCTAATATTGCCACTAGCATTTAACTTTCAATTTGTCATCACTTAGCATCCCCAGGTCATTTGTTTGCACATTTCTTTAAACTTTTTCTTCCACATATTCAGAATCATTTATGGGCTATGAAGGCCCAAATTTTGCTAGACAGCCCTCTCCAGAATCTGAGCTGTGGTACCATCTCTGGGTACTAGGATCTGGGAGCTCTTTCTCATTTAAAAGTAGGAGCCACCCACTACCACCCTTTGGATGTGTGGAAAGTGCTGCTGAAACCAGCAGGCCTGTGAGCAGGGGAGGGATCATGAGCGTGTATTCTTACCCTGCTCATCCTGTGGTACAAAATCATGGCCTAGTGGATGTGTACAGGGCACCACAGTGCCACATAAAGATATCCAAATGAGCTGATACTTTAGCTCAGGGATCCATCAGGATGTATATCTATTTCCCACCTTAACAGTAGGCTGTACAGTACCTTCTTGCAATCATGAGAGAGGCAGCTCCAGATGCTGATTACCTTGATCTTGGCAAGAAAAACTGCTGGCAGGCAGCTCAACAAGGTCAGACTGACCTCAGATGCATTTGAGGGGCCTTGGCAAGAGAGATGTCTTTAGGGGATCACTGACCAATGCAAGGAACATGATGAAGCAGCTATATGAAATGTAAAAGTAATAATATTCCCAATAAGCACCTGGCTTTTTATTGCTACAAGATTTTGAGTTCATTTTCTTGTGAGAACTCTACTGTAACTTTAGGTGGGGAGTGACCATCTCCCTACATACCTAGCACAAGAATTAAAATGAACACCAGTCAATATCCATAAGTTTTTAAAGAGCACTGGATTTCATATTTTGTTGAAGTTGTTAAAATATTAAATATTTTACCATTATCTTTACTACAAGAAAATTGCAGAAAATAAGAAATATGACCAGTCTGTCTTTATTACATGTTTAATCTTGACATGTAAATAAATGCATTTTCAATGCATCTTCAACTTTCAATGTCCGTCAGTTGAGGACAACATGCTTGACCGTGGGGCACATGCTTTCAGCAGCAGCTGGGGTTCAGGAGGTGCTGCCTTGCACAGAGACATGACCCAAGCTTGTGGCTACCCGTGGTGCTTTTCCCCAGGGCTGGCAGGTGTAAAGGAGGAGGTGGCCACCAAGGGCATTTTGTGCCTGCTGTCCTCCAGAGATGCCTCAGGGGTGGTGGCAGCAGCCGCAGGGCTCAGTGCGCTGCTGGGACAGTCAGAGAGCAGCCAGCCTGGGCCCTGCCCTTTTAACCAGGACTGGGGAAACCTGAAGCAGAGGAAAGGAAGGGCAGAGAGCTGCAGTAGTCTGATCCTGGGCTATTTATTTTCCAAACAGTTTTTTCTTGTTGGCTGTATTTTTAATGTAAATATGTGGGGGTTTATTGGAGAGGGAATTAATGTGTCATAATAGATACTTTACAAATTTATACTGGCTCTCATAATTTCTTTATGAATGGCTCAAAAGTATATAAAAGGTACAAGTTAAAGATATATATTTTTTTTAAGGGTATACATTCAGTGAGAAGCTACAATTTAAGGTCTATTATTGAGTGGCAACTAGCACAGTCTGGAAAAAATTGAAGGGCATTATCAACATTATCATGGTCCAGTTTATAGCAAATACAGGAGGGCCAAGTCTGATTGTTAGCAACAAGACAGCCATGGGCAGAAAACAGTTATAGGAAATGCCAGTCACTAGAACAAATGAAAATTCTCCTTTGGTCTCACCCCCACAAACATTATATTCAGTGCAAAGCAGGAAAAGATTAAAAAACAAAATGTCATTATTTCAAACAAAATAAAATTCTCAGCTCTAGTCTAAAAACAGAGAGTACTGATGTGGGCATACAGAAGATGCTACTTTTCAGGGAAGCATTTGCCTTGCTAACACCCTGTCTATCTGTGAGACAGAGATGACACAAACATATGAAGATGATAAAACGGGGTTATCCACAGGGGTAAGCACATTCACGAGAGGGGGAGGCTGAGAGCCTGCATTTGCCAGTTACCCAGCACACCACCGCTTGGTCTCTCCAAGGGACAGCTCTGCTCCTCTTCTTAAGACTTTGTTGCTGCAGAGCTTGCTCTTCTCTGCCCAGACCATGCCTGGTTGCCCCTAAAAACCCAGGTGTGCATGGGCCTGGGGTGTTGCTGCTCCATGGGCCAGCTCTCCACTTCCTAAGTGTGTGTGCAATGGAATAACACCTCCTTCAGACAGTCCCTGAGGCAGCAGAGGGAGGCTACAGGGGTGGCTTCTGTGAGAAGCTGCCAGAAGCTTTCCCCATGCCTGGCAAGCCAACTCCAGCTGGCTCCAGGATGGACACACTGCTGGCCAGGGCTGAGTCCACCAGGGACAGAGGGAGCATCTCTGGGATACAAGTCAGAAAGGGGAAAAAATACCCTGAACTGAATCTGTAAGCAGAGAGAGCAGTGAGAATATGTGAGGAAAAACTCTGAAGACACAAACATCAGGGCTGAAGGAGGGGAGGAGGTGTTCCAGGCACTGGGGCAGAGTTTCCCCTGCAGCCCCTGGAGATCCACACAGGAGCCCATGGAGGACCCCACACCAGAGCATGTGGATGCCAAAGGCAAAGGCATATGTGACCCCATGGAGAACCCATGTTGGGAACAGGGTCCTGCTCCTCACAGGACCTGTGACCCCATGGAGAGAGGAGTCCAGGCTGGAGCAGGTTTGCTGGCAGGACTTGTGACCCCCTGAGGGACCCATGCTGGAACAGCCTGTTCCTGGAGGGCTGCACTCCATGGAAAAGTCCTTCACTGGAACAGTTCTTGAAGACTGTGAGGAGCACTCATGCTGGAGATGTACATGGAGGACTGTCCCTGATGGAAGGGACCCCACGCTGGAGCAGAAGGAGAGTGTAAGGAATCCAGCCACAGTCACTGCAGGCAAAAGCATACTGAGTTTTTCATTTAAATAAGACAGGTAAAAAACACCTAAGGAAGTCTCATAACAAAATCTTTAACAGGATACAAAGGAAAAGAAAAATGATACCCCTTTTTTCATGACCACAGAAGAAATCTACAATAATATTCAAAAGCCAGCCACTCATGAATGTTCACCACAGAACCCTCACCTAGTGCAATCTAAGCCTGACTAGCCCTTCACCCAGCCTCAAAGGGCCTCTCTGGAAAATCCTTGTGGTCCACTTTCTGTGGCAATGCAGGCAGTAGGACAGTAAGTGCTATACCATGGAAATAGTTGCAGTTTCAGCAGCACCAACCAGGAAAAGTGAAAGGGTGCTGCCAAACACTTCACAGTCTAAATGGAAAATAAACCACTTTGGTCTGTAAGGAAATGGGCTCCTTCCTCTTCTCAGGCTAAGAACAAGTTCTCTCATTGGAAATTCCAGATATGGAAGATTTTTAGAAACAGACATCAATAAGCTTATCTCCAGCTGGAGCAGGTCTCTGGTTTGTTGTTAACCACTTGTGTCCCCTAAATCTATATGTTGAATTGTTTGTCTCTCTACAGAACTCTGTTCAGAACTGTCAAAATTAATTCCTAGGATATATGCTTGGGAAATTTTGTCCCAGTAGAATCTGTTCTCATATAGCTTCTACTAGATTATTTCAGTCAACTGAACAAAGTTTTCCATCCCTTTCAATTATTCATTTTTTCCCCCAGAGATGTTATTTATACAGCAGTGTACACAGTGCTTTGCAGTAAGTAGGTATGTCAGGCAAAGAACAATGTCCTCTTGACAGCCTTTGCAGCACAAAGAAATTAATAAGGTACAGACCAGAACAGTGAGAGTAAGGAGGCAAGGTGACTGCAGTCCCAATATTTCATGAAACAAAAGCAATGGTATGAATGTATGAAAAAGCAAAAATACTTGTCACATTGAGAAGGGTTTGTTCACTTAACTTCACACATCTATAATGCAAGGATCCGTGTCTGAGCTAGTCACAGAAGGTTCCTTTCTGGGGAGAAACAAGTGCTTTAAGGGCTGAGATTCATCTAATTTGGACACCTTTAGGAAGAAAGGAATCATGCTTTATGCTCTACTTACCATATCAAGCATTCCTCCATTGACTGTAACTTAGTCAAGCTGATCAACTCGGATATGGATAGCTATATTTAGTTAGATGATTCCAACCTACTATTCTAGCCACATGACAATATCTCTTTTAAGTCCTTTGTAAATGAAATTTCTGCTTTACTAAACTTCAGGCAGTGGTTCCCCATTCTTTTCCACTGCGGGGAGCTTTTTTTAAATCCCCTGTGCACAAACAGGTTTTTTTCCTGGAGGTAATTGCTAGATTAGCTCAATTAAATCAGCTGTCTCGTAGGCTGCACTCTAAATCAGATTTCGTTATAGAAGCCTGGTTTTTGAACACTGTCTGCAGATATGCTTTTCTTTTTGTTGTAAATAGATGCCATGTAAGTGTGGTTTAAAGCCCTGCCATGGAACAGGCTGAGTCAGAGCAAACTGGAGTTGACCTGACAGCCTTTTACATGGCTGGTCACCAGCTGAGATGGAGTAACTTAGGGGAGGCATAAACCTTTCATGGATTACTCCATGTCACCATAAACCTGTGGATTACTCCATGTCACCATGTCTTCAGCCTCCACTGCTCCCACTCCTGTTCCACATGGCCACCCACTGGGCAGGGACAGAGCAGGCAGACATCCAGAGGGGCTGTGCCTGACAATCTGTGACTGCTGGACACTTGCACCTTAGAGGAAGAAAGTGGAGTGCAGCACAGAGTGAATGAGTGCAGCCCATGCTGAGCACCTTCATGTGCCTGCACCAGCAAGGGAAGATGGAGATGCTCAGTGCTTGGTCTCACATTTGAGGCAATAAACCTTGTCACTGGAAAAAATACCAGGATTTTTTTTAATTTTGCAGGGTGAAGTGCATTAAGCCACTTGTGCTGTGGCACTGAGCAGCAGTGAAATTGCAATGACTTGTTGGCAGTTTTTACTGAAGCCCATTGATTTGGAAGGGAGAGTCCTGCTTCCCTTTGGCACTGCTAAACCTCAATCACTCTCCTATATGAGACATCCTTTGTTTTTGTATTTAATAATTTCAGTAACTCTGCAATATGAAACTTTCTCAATCCAGTCCTTGTATGTGGGAGGGCGTGAATATTTCCAGCTCATAGTAATGAAGACTTTGGCACAGGCAGTTGCAGCAGGCAGAGGCCTGCGAGCTCCGCTTTCCAAGCCCAGCTCCAATATGCTTCTTGCTGCACCCCAGTGCTCATGCAATTAGCTTTGCTTTCCTTGTGCACCATGGTGAGACAACACAGGCAGAGCAACAGAAGAGTACTCAAAAGAGCCTGACATTTATCTGTGCTTTTTTTACATACTAAAAAGAAAATCACGTTTCTTACATTAGGCTCTTCAGTCTGGAGAAGGTGTCCAAAAATCTCAGACATCCTTGAAAACAGAATGCCCCTCTGCAGTGGTTTGGTGGCATAGAAGAATGTGCCCAGATCTGCTCAGAACTGGTCCCACCCTGGCAGATCAGAGGGCAGAAGGAGGCAGGTATGGATGTTTTTCCTGCTCTCTTCCCCAGAAAACAAATTCTCTCTCAGGTACACTCAGGATGAGTTTGAATTCAATGTTGGTTTTCAACATGAACGTTGTCTTCCTTGTCAGTCCTGAAGCCAGGCTCCAGTGAAGACCTGGAGCAGCACAGACAGTGCAAAACACTTCTGATTTGCCTTTTCTGTCACTACTCCATGAATGCATTAACATTTTAGCATTTCTGCTGCATTATGGCAACACAGAACTGTTGATGCCATTTAAAATTGGTCCCAAGTAACTAATGAAGTGATTAGATGCTGCCATGGTATTTTAATTAGATGTGCAGCTCAAAACCCATCTACTTAGCCAATCATGCTGTTTCTTCAAAAATGAAGCCATACATTTCCAACTTTAAATAAACAGAATGAAAAATATAAATTAAGGGGACAAAAAACCAAAATATCAGCTAATGAAAGGGGTTGATAATAGATTATTATGCATAGTTTCATAATGAAAACACATTGTTTTAAACAATACAGTACATACTAAAACCAAGATGTAGATGCTAATTGTGTTCTCTGTTACAGAGAGAGAGCTAATGCCAGGGATTTGAGACAAATGGCACTTAACCTCCTGAACCCCAGATGAAGAGGGAGATAGATGTTTGCTTTTGATCATTCTGGGCTTTTCATGATCTGAATCAATAAGTACCCCTTATAGCT